CTCTTCTGGTTTTTTCTTATTGTTTTTTGGATAAGGCCTTACAAGGCCCAGCCTAATCTGACCCTTCCTTTTCTTCTCATCTATCTCTTAGATTACTGCTTTCTCCTTTACAGTTTTCTTAAAATTATAAGCTCCTCCCTATCTTCTTGAGCTCTGTGCCATTGCATATGTTATTCCTCTGCAGCACACACCTCCCCATCTCCCTGGTCTCATAGTGTAAAATGTCACTTCTTCAAGCCAACCTTTTTGATCGCTGAGAGTCAGTTTCGCCGGGCGCGGTGGCTCAAGCCTGTAATCCCAGCACTTTGGGAGGCCGAGGCGGGTGGATCACGAGGTCGAGGGTTCGAGACCATCCTGGTCGACATGGTGAAACCCCATCTCTACTCAAAATACAAAAAATTAGCTGGGCACGGTGGCACGTGCCTGTAATCCCAGCTACTCAGGAGGCTGAGGCAGGAGAATTGCCTGAGCCCAGGAGGCGGAGGTTGCGGTGAGCCGAGATCGCGCCATTGCACTCCAGCCTGGGTAACGGGCGAAACTCCGTCTCAAAAAAAAAAAAAAAAAAAAAAAAAAAAAAAAGTCAGTTTCATTCACCTTGAAACGTTTTCACAGTACCTTGAACTTCTCGTTTTAGTACTTACTACGTATTTTTTAAATGATTTGTGTAATTATCTGTTTTCTCTGCAAGACCATAAACTGTGTCATGTTGTTCACTACTTCCTAAGCCTATAATGCCTGATACCTCGTACGCAATAAATATTTCATAAATGAAATTATATATTCGTTAGTAAATGTCATCTTTGTTTTTATTGTAAAGGGAGGAAGAAAGGGAAGATTTTGATACTAGCACTGAGAGCAAAGACATAGAGCAAAAGGAATTAGATCAAGATATGGTCACTGAAGATGAAGATGACCCAGGATCACATAAAAGAGGCAGAAAAGGTAATACTGAAATTTCTTAACAGCATTCTTGTTTGTTTGTTTTTAACTGATAAAGCATTTTATTAATTCAGCTCCTCTGAAATATATTGATTGCTTTCATTTGTGATTCTGGGCTGTGTTTATTTTTCAAATGCCCACCTCATAGCTGTGCCAAGTTGTAAAAATGTGTTATGAAGTCTTAGTACATTCATGATTGGGTCATTATTTACACATCATTTATACTTTAGAAAGAAGAGAGAATATGCCTATGTCTTTAATAGGACAGTTTCTCATAACTTCAATTTTTGGCTAGTCAGCAGTTTTGTTGAATTTTTACATTCACTACTTTATTTGGGCCAAATAGAAATTTATATTCAGCATGCACTGGATGCTTCCTGTGTGCTAGAGATACAAAGATCAATAATGCTCATAATTGGTATCATATTGCTGAAAATGGAAGTCTCTCCTACCTTAAAATTATTTTATAAATTGCTAGATCAAAGCAAATACATCTTTTAAAAGCTGTTGATACAAATTTATTTTGAGGATCCTTAGCCAATCATATTTAATGACTATCCAAGGAAATCCTTAAGTTAATTCTGTGCCTATAATTTGGATGGGATCTTTTTTCTGTATTTTTTTCTAAATGGTTACTCTTAAGTAGATGGAAAATTTCCTGTATCATGGAAGCTGTATTGTCTGATTGCAATGCAATTGATTTCTAAAGCAAACCTAATATGATTAGAGCTTTAAAACATTCTTCTAAATATTGGATCAAAGGAGAAACCATAACAGAAACTAAAAAATATTTAAAACTAATCATTACTGCGTATTAACACTCGTTGGATACAGTCCCTCTACTTAGGGGGAAATGTATAGCTTTAATACATACTAGAAAAGGTGAAACACAAATTGAGCTAGACATTTAAGGAGATGGTGAGTGAAAAGAATAATCCCCCCAAGTTAGAAGGAAATAATACATAAGAGTAGAAATAGAAATAGAAAATAAAAATATAGTAGGGCCAGGTGCAGTGGCTCACACCTGTAATCCCAGCACTCTGGGAGGCTAAGGTTGGCGGATTGTTTAAGCCCAGGAGTTCAAAAATTGGCCTTGGCTACATAGTGAAACCCCATCACTACAAAAAGTACCCAAAAAAATATGCTGGGCATGGTGGCATGCACCTGTAGTCCCAGCTACTCAGTAGGCTAAGTGAGAAGGTCACTTGAGCCTGGGAGGTCAAGGCTATAGTGAGCCCTGATCACGCCACTACTCTCCAGCCTGGGCAAGAGAGCAAGACCCTTTCCCAAAAAAATAAAATAAAAATATAATAGAGAACAACAAATCCAAAAGTGTGTTATTTTAAGAAAGACACAAACTAGACAAACATTTGTTGAAATTGATTTTTATAAAGAGAGAGATCATAATAAACTTAGGGCTGAAAGGGGAGCAACATAACTATAGATAGAGTAGGTATTTAAAGGGGATAATATATAAATTTTTGATATAGAGTAGGAATTTAAAGGGGATAATATAATTTTTTGATAATAAATTTGAAAATATATGCAAAAATAAAATCCTAGAAAAATACAAATTTTCAAAATGGATTTGTGAACAAATTCTTTAATGTGGATGGTCTTAAACCATTAAAGGACTTGAATCAATACTAACATTTTTTTGCAGAGAAAACATCAGTCCTAGACAACTTTATAAGTGAATTCTGCCACATTTTTTAAAAAACAGATAATTCCAATCTTACACAGACTCTTTCAAGCAAAAGAAAGAAGGAAAAAACACTTCCCAAATATCAAACCAATCTGACAACAACCGAAACAACAGAGAAATTTAATTCTAACATATTATCAAAGTCAAGGCAGATTATCAGGGGTCCAAGCTCTTTCTATCTTGTTGGTACTGCTATCCTTAGGGTTTTTCTGCCCGTCTCATGTTCCAGAATGATTTATCACTATGTCTGCATTCTAGCTAGTTGGAAGTGGGTAGGAAGAAAGGGAAGCACAGCCCAGAGGGTACACACAATGCTTCTGATCCTGTATCTTTGAACAAAAGTTTTTCATGTAGTCATGCCTACTATGGGAAACGTCCTTTTGGGTTGCTAAGTGCCCAGCTAAAAACAAGTGGTTCTATTACCTTACACCAGTAGTTAGTAAATAACAGTTTGTATGCCACATCTGGCCTGCCCCATTTTTGTTGTTGTTGTTTTTTGAGATGGAGTCTTGCTGTGTTGCCCACGCTGGGGTGAAGTGGTGCCATCTTGGCTCACTGCAACCTCTGCTTTCCGGGTTCAGGCGATTCTCCTGCCTCAGCCTCCCAAGTAGCTGGCATTACAGGCACCTGCTACCACACCTGGCTGAGTTTTATATTTTTAGTAGAGATGGGGTTTTACCATGTTGGTCAGGCTGGTTTCAAACTCCTGGCCTCAAATGATCCACTTATGTCAGCCTCCCAAAGTGTTGGAATTACAGGTGTGAGCTACCTCACCCAGCCCCGCCCTGTTTTTGTATAACTCATAAGCTAAAAGCTAAAAAGGATTTTTTCTTTTTCTTTTTTTTGACAGCCTATCATGGGACTTTTTTTTTTTTTTTTTTTTTTTTTTTGAGACACAGTGTCACTCTATCCCCCAGGCTAGAGTGCACTGGTGTGACTTGGCTCACTGCAACTTCCACCTCCTGGGTTCAAGTGATTCTCATGCCTCAGCCTCCCAAGCAGCTGGGATTACAGGCACTTGGTACCGCACCTAGCTAATTTCTGTATTTTTAGTAGAGATGGAATTTCACCATGCTGGCCAGGCTGGTCTCGGACTCCTGACCTCAGGTGATCCACCCACCTTGGCTGTAATCCCAAAGTGCTGGGATTACAAGCATGAGCCACCACACTCAGCTGGATTTCTACATTTTAAATGGTGGGGAAAAAAAAGAATGATACTTTGTGATAAGTGAAAATTATATGAAATTCACATTTCACTGTCCATAGTTATATTGAACCATAGCCAAGCTCATTGTCTACGTGTTGCCTGTGATTGCTTTGGGCTACAATAGTGGACTTGAATAGCTGTGAAGACCGTAAGATCCACAAAGACAAATATTTATAAGCTAGTCCTCTCCAGAAGTAGTTTGCTGCCATAGAGGAAGGCCTGGGATGACTACTGAAGGATAACTAACATACTCTACTGTACTTACCAGTATGGAAATTACAGATTTTGCATGCCCCTTTAGATATAACTATATTGATTTCTTACTAACAGAGTGTTAGTAACACCAGGCATGTTGGATTAGGGCCCTACCTTTATGACCTTATACCTCCTTAAAGATTGTCTCCAAATACAATCACATTGGAGGTTAGGGCTTCAGTGGGGAGGGGACACAGTTTAGTCCATAACACCTAATAACTTGGGGTAACTTTGTATCTCATATTTTTCTAATGGATATTTGAAATATACTGATGATGAAACATTTTATTTAACTTATAGGGAAAAGAGGACAAAATGGATTTAAAGAATTTACAAGGCAAGAAGAGATCAACCATGTAACAAAAGATCCTCTTACTGCTGATGAGGAAGAAGTATTAAAACAGGAACACCAACGAAAAGAGAAAGAGCTCTTAGAAAAAATCCAAAGTGCCATAGCCTGTACCAATATCTTTCCCTTGGGTCGTGACCGCATGTATAGACGATACTGGATTTTCCCTTCTATTCCTGGACTCTTTATTGAAGAAGATTATTCTGGTCTTACTGAAGACATGCTGTTGCCTAGACCTTCATCATTTCAGAATAATGTACAGTCTCAAGATCCTCAGGTATCCACTAAAACTGGAGAGCCTCTGATGTCTGAATCTACCTCCAACATTGACCAAGGTCCATGTGACCATTCCGTGCAGCTGCCAAAACCAGTGCATAAGCCAAATCGATGGTGCTTTTACAGTTCCTGTGAACAGCTAGACCAGCTTATTGAAGCTCTTAATTCTAGAGGACATAGAGAAAGTGCCTTAAAAGAAACTTTGTTACAAGAGAAAAGCAGAATATGTGCACAGCTAGCCCGTTTTTCTGAAGAGAAATTTCATTTTTCAGGTAAATTTTTAATGAAAATTATTTTTATTTTTTTTCCTCCCCCTAATCTCTGGTCATTCAGGATTAAGCATTTTTTCAAGCTACTAGAAATTTACACCACCTCATCTTTAATTTAGGTTATCCCCTTAGTTTGCAAGTTACAGAGTTTAGGAATGTATTTCTTTATAGAAACAAGATTATCTAAATTCCACTGGCTTAAATTTGAATTATGAGGAACACATCTATGGTGTAACAAGATACACATTCTTCCTGATCTCCTTATTCCTTGGTCAGCAGACTCTGAAAGCCAAGAATACTTTAAGGCCGCCTTCAATTTTGGATAGATTATGGAGATTGAGGTTACTCATTAAGGGTTTTGACTGAAGAGTCCAGGGAGAAGTTCCACTAATGATCACTTCTTTGGAGCTTGGCTGCAAGGGCAGGTTGGAGAGCAGCATTTCCTGTTTGATGGTTCATCTGTTGATGACAAATAAGAAAAAGCAGTAAGGCATTTTTAGATGTGAGTTTTTGTATTAATAAATGAGAGTCTCTAGGTAAAGAATTGCTTACTTGTTTCCTGTGGGGGAGAAAATAGAGCTAAAAACATTTTAATTAAAATAAATTTTAAAAAAGAATTGCTTAAATTTAGGGGTATGTTACCATGACTACTTTAGTTTTTTTGTTGTTGTTGTTTTGTTTTTTTCCAGGATTAAAAACTACAGATCACAATTCTTTTTTGTTATTTGTTTATTTATTTATTTTGAGACAGTTTCACTCTTGTGACCCAGGCTGGAGTACAATGGTGTGATCTTGGCTCACCGCAACCTCCGCCTCCTGGGTTCAAGCAATTCTCCTGTCTCAGCCTCCCAAGTAGCTGAAACTACATGTGCATGCCACCACGCCTGGCTAATTTTGTATTTTTAGTAGAGACAGGGTTTGGTCAGGCTGGTCTCAAACTCCTGACCTTAGGTGATCTGCCCACCTTGGCCTCCCAAAGTGCTGGGATTACAGGTATGAGCCACCACACACAGCCATTTCTTTTTTTGAGACAGAATTTCATTCTTGTTGCCCATACTCAAGTGCAATGGTGCAGTCTTGGCTCACTGCAACCTCCGCCTCCCAGGTTCAAGTGTTTCTCCTGTCCCAGACTCCCAAGTAGCTGGGATAGCAGGTGCCTACCACCAGGCCCAGCTAATTTTTTGTATTTTTAGTAGAGATGGGGTTTCTTTGTTGAAAGATACAGGATCAGAAGCATTGTGTGTACCCTCTGGGATGTGCTCTCTTTCTTCCTACCCACTTGCAACTAGCTAGAATGCAGACATAGTGATAAATCATTCTGGAACATGAGACAGGCAGAAAAATCCTAAGGATAGCAGTACCAACAAGATAGAAAGAGCTTGGACCCCTGATAATCTGCCTTGATTTTGATAATATGTTGGAATTAAATTTCTCTGTTGTTTCGGTTGTTGTCAGATTGGTTTGATAGTTGGAAAGTGTTTTTTCTTCTTTCTTTTGTGTTTCATTATGTTGGCCAGGCTGGTCTTGAACTGCTGACCTCGGGTGATCCACCTGCCTTGGCCTCCCAAAGTGCTGGGATTACAGGCATGAGCCACCGTGCCTGGCCATTGTTGAGCATCTTTTCATGTGCTCATTGGCCATTTGTATATCTTTCTTAAATATATTTTCAGATCCTTTGCCCCTTTTTAAATTGGGTTGTCTTTTTATTGTGCTGTAAAAATTCTTTATATATTCTGGATACAAGGGCTTTATTTATTTAGAGACAGGATCTCGCTGTGTTGCCCAGGCTGGAGTACAGTGGCATAATCATAGTTTCACTGTAGACTGAAACTCCTGGGCTCAAGCAATCCTGCCTCAGCCTCCTGAATAGCTGTACAAGGGGCTTTATAAGATAAATGATACTCATTCATTCATTCATTCATTTGTGGCACTTGAGGATTTACAAAGTGCTTTTATATCCATTATTTCAAGATCGTAACAATTACATGGAATAATTACAGTTTTTAATAAGAAAATCACGATAAAAGTATTTGATTACTATTTCAGACAAACCTCAGCCTGATAGCAAACCAACATATAGTCGGGGAAGATCTTCCAGTACATATGATCCATTTCAGATGTCTGCAGAAAAGCAACTTGAATTGAGGCTGAGAGATTTTCTTTTAGATATTGAAGATAGAATCTACCAAGGAACATTAGGAGCAATCAAGGTTTGTACCTGTTCCCCTTTTTAATTTGTCTAATCTGCTTGGTCCAGAATTTTGGTCATATTTGTTATCTACATGACATAGACAAGGCATGTGTGTTTTGAATAAACACCAGAGAGTGATGAAAACTAACTTTATTCCCCTCCATCACAATATTTTTTATGAGATTTTCATCATATGTTGAAATGTATTAGGATATTTTCTTCTTCCTTGACTAGCCCCTGCCTTCTCTGCTGAGTCGTTCATTTGTTGGTATCTTTGTCACCTTTTTAAAATCTGTAATTCATGGCAGATAATGTATTCTGTTCATGCCTTTGCCATCATCTGCCATTTTTTTGCTGCTATCAAGTGACCAATCTTAGAACTGTTTGTGATGTATTTATACAGAAAGTAAGGTTTTCATCTATGAAGAATATGAATTCCATTTTGGCTACTTAGTAACCTAATTTTTAGATTCCTTTTTAATTCATAATCATTTCTAAAATATCCATAAATTGATTTTATATGTATATTGAACTTCCTACCTCTCAGAAACAATATATTCTATTTTTCATGGTTAGTAAGTTTGAATTTTGTTACAGGTTACAGATCGACATATCTGGAGATCAGCATTAGAAAGTGGACGGTATGAGCTGTTAAATGAGGAAAACAAGGAAAATGGGATAATTAAAACTGTGAATGAAGATGTGGAAGAGATGGAAATTGATGAACAAACAAAGGTCATAGTAAAAGACAGGTACAAAAGGATTTTTTCCAAAGTAACGATTACTTTTCTTTGCCTTTTTTTTCTTTTTTTTTTTAGTAAGTATGTTGCTTTTTCTTATTTTTAAAAGTTGTCATGAAGACCACTGGAATAATCATTTTCTAAAACTCAGGATCTTTGTTACTCCACTTTGTACTAATGCAACCAAAAGACAGTTTATTAGAATAATGATAATTTCTTTAGTATTTTTTTTAATATTTGAACTTAAGGTTTTATTAATTTCAGAAAGTACCTATACTATCATTTTTTTTTTTTCTGTAGGGAAACTTAGTAAATTGGTAAATTCTGGTAGACTTAAATATTGTTTGAGCCAGGCAAGATGGTGTGGGCCTCCTGTAGTCTCAGCTACTCAGGAGGCTGAAGCAGGAAGACTGCTTGAAGCCAGGAGTTGGAAAACAGCCTGGGCAACATAGTGAGAAATCCTGTCTCTTTTTAAAAAAAGAAAAAACTTTTTTTTGAAATTAGCTGGGCATGGTGGCATGTACTTGTTTTTGTTTTTGTTTTTGTTTTTTTTTTGGAGGTGGGGACAGAGTCTCGCTCTGTCGCCAGGCTGGAGTGCAGTGGCTCAATCTCAGCTCACTACTACCTCCAACTCCCTGGTTCAAGTAATTCTCCTGCCTCAGCCTCCCAAGTATCTGGAATTACAAGCACACAACACCACGGCCAGCTAAGTTTTGTATTTCTAGTAGAGACAGGGTTTCACCATGTTGGCCAGGATGGTCTCAATCTCCTGACCTCATGATCCACCCGCCTCGGCTTCCCAAAGTGCTGGGATTACAGGTGTGAGCCACTACCACTGGCTGGCATGCACTTGTAGTCCCATCGACTCCAGCTTTGTATCCCAGGACTTCAAAGCTGCAGTGAGCTAATAATGATTGTGCCACTGTACTCCAGCCTGAACAACAATGAGACCTCTTCTCTAAAGAAATAATTGTAAGTAGTAAATATTATTAATCAGAACCTATAACCATATATCTACTTTTTTTTTTTCAAGATTATTTTGGATATTATGTGCCTTTAAGCAGTTTGTCATCTAGAAGGGAACAATGGAGATACATGAGGCTAGTATTACATTTACTAGAACAGGGTGCTGATAGAAGGTTATACCCCGTGCAAATGAAGTACATGGGAGGGCTACTTGTCTTAGGGGAACATGGGAGATAATAAAGGAAGTACAAGAGGCAGTGACCACAAAGCTGAACCCTAAAGTTGAGGAAAATAGGACACTGGGAAGAAAAACCATGTACAAAGGCTTTGAGTGAATGAGTTTACACTTTAACGTAATCATTTTAAGCCGGGTGTGTTGGCTCATGCCTATAGTCCCAGCACTTTGGGAGGCCAGGGCAGGTGGATCACAAGGTCAGGCGTTCAAGACCAGCCTGGCCAACAGAGTGAAACCCCATCTCTACTAAAAATACAAAAAATTAGCTGGGCATGGTGGCACATGCCTGTAATACTAGCTACTTGGGAGGCTGAGGCAGGAGAATGGCTTGAATCTGGGAGGCAGAGGTTGCAGGGAGCTGAGATTGTGCCACTACCCTCCAGCCTGGCAACAGTGCCAGACTCCATCTCAAAAAAAAAAGAATTATTTTCACTGGAGTGTGAAAATTTAATGAAGAGGGAGCAAGACTGGAGGTTAATGAACTAGTTAGGTAGCAATAAATCCTACCCAGTAGTTTGAAGCAAGAAAAAGTGTTGAAACGAGAAATAGAGATAAACTGCCCAAGATACTTAGGCTTTAAGGCCTATTACAATGTCACCTCTCTCAAACCTTTCCCATAAGCCTTCCCTCTTCTACTTTCTCTCCTTCAAATATTTACCTTTAGTCCTTCTAAATGAATCTCCCTTCCCTACTAATTTACTGTAGCTCCTTGAGGAAGTCATTTTTTTTTACAAAGGTGGAAATAAGCATTTGAATCAATGAATGGACTCAACTTATAATTAATATTGTTTTTAAGTACCATAAACTCTTAAATGTTTTAATTGTAGACTTTTGGGGATAAAAACAGAAACTCCAAGTACTGCATCAACTAATGCAAGTACACCACAATCAGTGAGCAGTGTGGTTCATTATCTGGCAATGGCACTCTTTCAAATAGAGCAGGGCATTGAGCGGCGTTTTCTGAAAGCTCCACTTGGTAAGTATCTGTTTTTATTTCAAAATATAAGTTATAAGTAATTTTGAGTTGCCCTTTAATTAATAGAACTTTATTGGCTGACATAATCAAATTGATAAACTAATCTTAAGAACTTGAGATTATGTTTTCATTTTTAAATGAGTTATTTTAAGTGAGGTTTATTTTTAAAATAATACAGTCTTTTGTGAAGAGTTTCATTAAAAGAAAGATTACCAGCTAGGCACAGTGGCTCATGACTGTTAATCCCAGCACTTTGGGAGGCTGAAAGTGGAATTGCTTCAGCCCAAGAGTTTTAGACCAGCTTGGGCAACATATAGCAAGAACTCCATCTCTACTAAATTAAAAAAAAAGAAATTAAAGCAGGCCTCATGGCATACACCTGTAGTCCCAGCCACTTGAGGAGTCTGAGGTGGGAGGATTGCATGAGCCCAGGAATTTGAGGTTACAATGAGCTATGACCACACCATTACACTGTGCCCTAGGTGACAGTGTAAGACCCTATCTCTTTAAAAGAAAAAAAAAAAAGACCACCAAAACCTGTAACTAGTCAGACCTTGAATAATCAAAGATTATGTGTAACTTTTTTTTTCTGTTATTTAAAAGAGAACCCCAAATAAGTGACTGAAAAGATTACCATTTGGGGCATAGTTTAATGATAAGGGTCACTGACCCACATGCTATATAAGAAGTGCTAAATGAGAAATACCAAGTTTTAAAAGAAACACAGATGAGGAAATGCTCTATACTTCATAGTGAGGAATAATACTATCTGTATCACTTTTTGGCAATTTATGAAATTACTGGGTTTTTAGGGACTAATCGAGGAACCTAATCATTATGTTTTTGGAAAATACCTGTTTCAGAATTCTAAAATTCTTTTTGAGATGTTTAATTTATAACTCATCATATTGAGATATTTATATTGTAATGGGATCATGGAAGAAATATGAAAGAACTACCTGAATTGACTAAAATCCTTAAATAATTTTTTGGGCTGGGAGTGGTGGCTCCACGCCTGTAATCCCAGCACTTTGGGAGGTGGAAGCAGGTGGATCACCTGAGGTCAGGAGTTCAAGACCAGCCTAACCAACATGGTGAAACCCTGTCTCTGCTAAAAATACAAAATTAGCTGGGTGTGGTAGCACATGCCTGTAATCCCAGCTACTTGGCAGGCTGAGGCAGGAGAATCACTTAAAGCTAGGAGGCGGAGGTTGCAGTAAGCCTAGACTGCACCATTGTACTCCAGCCAAGGCAACAAGAGTGAAACTCTATCTCAAAAAAATAAAAATAATTTTTAAATAATATTGAGTAATAGAACAAAGTTTTCATAAATAGTGTGTAATCAGAGCAGTTTTGAAATGTGAATATATTTGTAATGTGAATATATTTGTAAACTTTTCAATTGAAGAGTTTGTGGCCAGTATCTCATTAAGTCTGTTCACACTTTTATAAATTGATAATCCTACCATACACTTAATAATAACACACTGACCACATTAAAAGTACCAATTATAAGAAATAAAATATGTATAATCAGACACAAGAACAGAAAGCCAAATGCGGCATGTTCTCACTCATAGGTAGGTGTTGAACAATGAGAACACGTGGACTCGGGGAGAGAAGCATCACACACTGGGGGCAGTTGCAGGGGTAGGGGAGAGACAGTGGGGGGTGGGGGGTATAATATGGGGAGAAATGCCAGATATACTATGCACCTAAAGTTAAATAAATAATTAAAAAAAAAAAAAGAAAGAAAATACGTGTAATCACAGCTCCCAAAGGTATTAGAGTTGGTATTTGCTGTTACTTTTATTTCCCAGTCTTCAGTACGTCTTAGTATTTTCTTTGTCTAAATCCAGTTATGCGTACAAGGGATCATTCTATTTATTACAAACACATATTAATACACAATTACCTCAATTAAAATTTCAATTTAAAATTATTTGTAAATCATGCAGCTTTTATAAATTTAAGACACTGCTACTAACACTATGATTCCCAAAGAGTAAAAGAATAAGACGCAATACTGCTTATTTTCCCACATCTGAAATTTTCATTAAAGTTTTTTATAAGTTGAAGATGGGGAATCAGATTGATTGTTTAGTATATCTGTGTTTTGTTTTCATCTGCACATCTCATTAAATATTTAGACAAAAAAGATTAATACTGAGAGGTATTAAACTTGTCTAGTAGGTTATATGAGAGATACTGTTCCTTATGCTGGTTTGTATACAGTGATTTTTCAAACATTAATTTCATCCCAAAAGATAGAAAATTATAATTCAGGGCCGGGTGCAGTGGCTCACACCTGTAATCCCAGCGCTTTGTGAGGCTGAGGTGGGTGGATCACCTGAGGTCAGGAGTTTGAGATCAGCCTGACCTACACAGAGAAACACTGTCTCTACTAAAAATACAAAATTAGCCAGGCGTGGTGGTCCACACCTGTGATCCCAGCTACTAGGGAGGCTGAGGCAGGAGAATCACTTCAAGACCCTGGAGGTGGAGGTTGTGGTGAGCTGAGATTGCGCCACTGCACTCCAGCTTGGGCAACAAGAGCAAAACTCTGTCTAAAAAAAAAAAAAAAAAAATTATAATTCAGGGTCTTAAGAAATAAGTGAAATAAGAAAAGTTTGTTACTTTGACAGTGTCAAAGTTAAATTTTGGTCAAAGTCAAATGTTGGTCATTTATAATATGGGTGTCTACTGTTGGTGCTCCATAAAAAGTTATTGGAATAACTTACGCCTTTGAAAGATCTGTTTTGCACAGGACAGCAGGAGATGGAGATAGGCTATCTGAAATAAAGTAATCAATAATATCATTAATTGGGGAGGGAAAAGCAGGTTTTACTTTATGAATATTTGAGATAGATTATATATTGAAATTCTCCATTTACCTGATAATATTTCAGCATAGTAAATTAATCATAGTAGGCATTTTCCCAATCTAGGTTCAGAAATTATTTTCAGTTTCCTGAAGAAGCATGTAAAAAACTAGTATGTCCCTTTTATTCTAGAGATTAATCATACTGATAAAATTAGACGTTTTTTCATTTGGGGAAGATAAAATCTTGTTTTAATTAACTGTTTGAGGTAAGACATGAGGATATTTTTTAAGATTCATAATTCCATTATTTTTAAAGTCATGGCTAAACCCCTTAAGCTATGAAAAAAAATCCTCAACTAACTTTATCAATTTGAAATTAGGTAACACAGAAATTAATAAGGATCAAAAGGGAGATAGAAAAAAAAGGACAAGAAAAAGGGAGAGGAAGATCAATCTAGTGTGAGAGATGGTAAATTTTTAACTTTTTAAAGAAATTTTGTGTGTTGTCTTTTTAAAGAATTATGATTTTACTTTTTCTGTGGCAGAATACTGATTTGCATATTTAGCTTTTGAAGGAAAACTTTGGATTTGATTTTTTTTTTAAGGGAATGGACTTCGGAATAAGCTAAAAAATATTATCTTCCTAGTATTTTCCTTTCTGTATTTCACACCTTGGCTAATTACTCTTCTAAATTGGCATATACAAAGTTGACATTGGTGTATCTTCATATACTTAGTGAAAAGAACGAATGGCTGTGGAACTTATGTTTACTTGTTTCACATAAAGTATTTTATTCACAGCATTTTTTTTCTTTTCCTAGCTAGGAGAGACATAGGGCAAGAGTTTTTATATTTCGTCCCCCAAAGAAGCCTGTCCTGTTCACTTGGATTACTGTATAGTGGCCATTGAACAGTATGAAGTCTCCCAGTTAATATTTGATGTGACTGCCAATATTTTATATTAGTAAGATCCTTTTAGTAATTTCTTGAGGAATTTATCTGTGCTAGCATAATAGAAGATAAAAGAGAAACAAGACATATTCTGCCCTTTACATTTGTGTAATCTGGGGCAAAAGCAAAGTTTAATATAAAGAAACAACAGAAAAATGGAATCCTATATACTATATTTTATACTTGTACTGATACTTAATATCAGTACTGTGCAAAAATAGAAAAAAAGGTACATTCATTATGGACTAGTCACTAGAATAATAATAGCTTTGAGCTACCGCTGGTTTAATTTTCTTAAACCACCTCATTAATCAAATCCCATAGCATTTCACCAACCTTTGCATTAAAAAAAAATCATTAAACTAATTTCCAAGATTCCAAAAGTTCTTCATAATTTGTCTTTTTTCCCATCCCTTCACTGACCTCTGCAACCTTATTCATTGCCATTACCAATGAGAGTATTCCCTGATTTACCCAGACAGATCATCATCTTTGAACTATTATTGCTACCTCATTCCTTGGAGGCCCTGCTCAGGCCAGAACTTTTTATGAAGGCTTATATTTTAAAAACCAAGACAAGTAAAAAACTCACAATGAGAGGGGAGAAATAAATCAAATGTATTTAAGTGGACTGTACTTTCCAATTTATTTATATATAGTATACACACACACACACACACACACACACACACACACACACACACACAATTTTTTTTTTCAAGACAGAGTCTTGCTCTTGTCACCCAGGCTGGAATACAGTGCACAGTCTGCAACTTCTGCCTCCCAGGTTCAAGCAATTCTCCTGCCTCAGCCTCTCAAGTAGCTGGGATTACAGGCACTCGCCACCATCCCTGGCTAATTTTTGTGTATTTAATAGAGATGGGGTTTCACCGTGTTGGAAAGGCTGGTCTCAAACTTCTGGCCTCACGTGATCCACCCGCCTCAGCCTGCCAAACTGCTGGGATTACAGGTGTGAGCCACTACATCCAGTTCCAATTAAAAGTTAGAGACCGTTATGGATAGTTGGCAGGGAAAGTGAATAAAATTGAAAAAAAAAAAAAGATTGTATTAACATAAAATCTAGCTGGTTTATAGACTGTCTGCAAAAGACATCTAAAGCAACATAAAGATGGAAAAATACTATTGTTGCTGCAGTCTAAATAATAATCTTTGTATTTTGCCAACTTCATTAATATTTCTTAAGCTTTGAAGAACCATTGGACCCATCCATTGTGTTTTGCCTCAGTTTTTAATCTCAGTTATTTTGAAAAGTTCTAACTGGTTCTTTTTCAGACTGGCTGGTTATTTATTCATATTTTAAACTTTTACTTATTAAAGCATACTGAACACAGTTATTTTATATTCTGTTTCTTATTCTAATATCTGAAGTCTTAAATGAGTTTGATTCTGCTGGCTTTCACTTAGTGTTTTCTTTCCACATGTACCCTGTGGTTTTGATTAACTCATTCCTCACACTTATCTGTGGAAATGTCTTCAGAGAGAATTTGCAAAGATTTGTAATTGTTTTTGCCATTCACTTGAGGTTACTAGCAACCCTAGAGTACTTTAAAATCTTAGCTGTGTTTTTTCTGGTTCTAAACCTGTTCGAGGCTTTGCTTGATCCTTAGGGAGACTTATTTCCCCTTTCTACCCAATGCTAAAGTCCAGATGAATCAATTTTCTTGCTCCCCGTTTTTTATGTAGCACCTATGTCCACCCTGACACTTGAAGGGGTAGCCTTCTGGGGCCCTAGCTTTTTAGAGAGGGACTAGCTACCTTCGTGGGCCCCAGGTTTCATGTCCTGTCTTTCTCACCCTGCCCAACTGATAAACAGGAGCTCAAGGTCCATTGATACTTGAGAGGTCTCTTGGTTTATGGTTTCAATACAAACAAATTCATTGTGTATTTCTTCACTTTTCCAGCAGTACTAAACATTCCTTTAAGATAGGGACCACAGAATAGACTAGTTTCATATCTTATAAAGTGCCGCATATAGGGGGAGGTATACAGTGCACAAATAATGATAGTAATATTAGCATTTACTCTGACAGGCATTTTATATGCCTTATGCATATTATTTAATGTTTCCAACAACCCTCAGAGGTTGATACTCTCCATGTATTACAGTTGAGGAACCTGAGAGACAGATGAGTTAACTTGCCCAAGTTATAGGGGAGCCAGTACTTAGCTCAAAGCAGACTGACTCCAAAGCCTGCATTTTCTTAACCATTATGCTACTGCCCAAGAGGTTTTATTTGAGGATAATAGTAAGAAATAATGTTATTACAGAACCAGATTATGTATGGAGTTTTATGTACCTTGCAGAATTAAGTATAATGTTTTAGGAAGATTAAGTGGAATAATACTAAAGATTGAAGTGGAAATCACACACCAGTGTAAAATGACCATTGATTGATAGCATTTAATCAGATGACTAAATTTTTTAGCTCAGAAGATAAAGGAATGGTGATGTTGAGTGACAGAAGGTTTCAAATGTTTCTATGTAAGTGTTAGTGCTAAAAAAAATTGTTTTTGGTAGTATTAACATTGTTAAGCCGGGCGCGGTGGCTCAAACCTGTAATCCCAGCACTTTGGGAGGCTGAGGCGGGTGGATCACGAGGTCGAGAGATCGAGACCATCCTGGTCAACATGGTGAAACCCCGTCTCTACTAAAGATACAAAAAATTAGCTGGGCATGGTGGCACGTGCCTGTAATCCCAGCTACTCAGGAGGCTGAGGCAGGAGAATTGCCTGAGCCCAGGAGGCGGAGGTTGCGGTGAGCCGAGATCACGCCATTGCACTCCAGCCTGGGTAACAAGAGCGAAACTCCGTCTCACAAAAAAAAAAAAAAAAAAAAAAAAAAACATTGTTTTTATAAACTGTTTTCTTAGAGATAGGAGATATTTAGGTTGGAGAACAATCCATCTTTTACATGAAATAAGGAAATAACTTTATTCAAATGAATAGTAACTTAAACTTGGAATCATATGTAGCCAGTTTTTAAAATTAGATTAAGATTTGATACACAGACTAGATTGGGAACACATTGTCTGAATTATTTTTGCCTTTATTAAAATCCCTTAGCATTTGATTTGTGGATTTAAGTAATTCCTTATGTCATAAACAAGATGTGGCTCAGCAAACATTTTCCATGAGATTTTTGTTTTTAATATCAGCATGGTCTTTTTGTTAAGTATCACAAGAGTAGAAATGTAAAATCTAACCTGTATTTAAAATAGCAACAAACTATTTCTAGTAAGATTACTAGGTTTGCCTAAAAATTGTAATCACTCTTCCTTTTCATTTAAGATGCCAGTGACAGTGGGCGTTCTTATAAAACAGTTCTGGACCGTTGGAGAGAGTCTCTCCTTTCTTCTGCTAGTCTATCCCAAGTTTTTCTTCACCTATCCACCTTGGATCGTAGTGTGATGTGGTCTAAATCTATACTGAATGCTCGTTGCAAGATATGTCGAAAAAAAGGTGATGCTGAAAACATGGTTCTTTGTGATGGCTGTGATAGGGGTCATCATACCTACTGTGTTCGACCAAAGCTCAAGGTATTTTTTTTCTTCTCAGATTAGAATTGAGACACTAAGATTTTGAGTAATAGATGATTAAGGATCATTTGTTTGATTTATTCAGACTGTGCCTGAAGGAGATTGGTTTTGTCCAGAATGTCGACCAAAGCAACGTTCTAGAAGACTCTCCTCTAGACAGAGACCATCCTTGGAAAGTGATGAAGATATGGAAGACAGTATGGGAGGTGAAGATGATGAAGTTGATGGTGATGAAGAAGAGGGTCAAAGTGAGGAGGAAGATTATGAGATAGAACAAGATGAAGATGACTCTCAAGAAGAAGAAGAAGTCAAGTAAGTCCTAATATGCAATAAAATGAGTCAGTAAGTCTTAGGCAGTTTCTCCACTATTCAAATACAAATGGAATAGTTGGGGTGTGTAACTTGGTTTAAAACTAATATATAGGCCAGGCGCAGAGGCTCACACCTGTAATCCCAGCACT